GCCCCTGCCCCGCCGCGCGCCCGCGGCCCGGCCCGGCTCCGCGCCGCCGTCTGCGGCTCGCGAGCTGACAAATAAAAATATGATTACAGAAAATGCCCCGTGGCAAGCCTTATTATGGCTTCAGAGATAACAGATAATGCCAATTACTGCGCGGGGCAGTGGTGACATTGAGAGGAAATCCCCTGCGGTAATGAGCAGGGGGATGATTATTTCATTTTATTTTTATTTTTGGTTGCGTTTCATTTCGTCTTTCTGGCTTTTTTTTTTTTTTTTTTTTTTTTTTTTTTTTCCCTGAGCGTGCACAAGAGGGGTTAGGGCAGGTTCTTTATGAATATTGATGGATGACGACGATGAGGGCCCTTTCTCCCTTCCTTGCCCGGGGCTGTGGTTGCGGAGCCGGGGAGGCTCTGGCTGGGCAATGTCTGTGGGCACGGCCGTGCGGGCCTGCCGGGGCTGAGGCAGCGACAGCGGCCTGCCTGCTTCGCCTTTGCCTCCTGCCCTTCCCTCCGTGCCCGGGGAGAAAGGCTCCCCGCAAAACAACCCTTCAAGATTTCGCAGCGCCGCTGCCAAAATCCCTGGTATATTCCTGCAGGCGGGAGCTGCGGGGCACTGCCAGTGAGGGAAGCAGGCTTTTAAGGAGAAATCTGGGGTGTCTCTGAGAAACAGAGCTGAAGAATGACAGCTGCCATGTTCTGCCATGTAGTGCCACCCTCCTCAGAATTCCTGCTCTGCCCTGCTCCGTTTACAAGGAGCGTGCAGGGAGGGTCTGTCAAATGCTCAAGATTGCAGAGGATGGACGCTTTGAAATCGTGACTCAAGGCCTCCAGATGTGAAACTGATCTAGAAATGGTGGAATTTAATAAGATTGTTTTCTGGTTTGGGTGTTTTTTGTTTGTTTGTTTTTTGGGGTTTTTTTGGTTTTTTGTTTCTGGTACTTGGGTGTTCAAGTTTTCTTTCAGACCATCAGAAGTAAGAAAGGTGTATTTTTACCCCGTTGAAAGCTCACCATTCTTTATCTGAATGCAGGTGTTTCAGTTCTGTGCTCAAGACTCACTGTAAAACGGTGAGGAATTTTCAGATATCCCTTGTACAGAGAACCAGAGAAAAGCCGTCAAATGCAGCAGCTGCAGTGCCAAAGGCAAAGTTACCAGCTCAGCTAAAGTCAGGGAACATGTATTTTTGTAAGTTTTCTTCTTTAAGTAAGCCACTGGAAACTCAGAAAGGGCATAGTCTTACTGGAAGCATAACCAGGTAACATTTTCTGGGAAGTGCAGCAGTGGTGATCAGACCTGACAGGCTGTTCTGGCTTTGAAATACATGAATATATGCTTTGGGGAGAGGTTGGCAGGGAGAAACAATATATTTTAGTGGATCAATGGAAATAATTGTTTAAAAGCAAGCAATGTTTTATGCATACAAACCCTTTCCCAGGCCTCCTGGTATGTTTATAGGTGTTGTCCTTTTTCCTCGTTATAATTATATTTACTTGTTCTGCAGAATTCTGTGAAAACTTACTAAATTTGAGCATAGCAACCATGGCTATAAACCAAGAATCTTCAGTAGGTAGATGCAACTTACATGTTTGGATCTTATTTGCAGAAAC